TCGATTCGCAGCTCGAATACGTGGAGGCTGCTTGCCCGTTTTTCATCAATACATCAGGCAAAGAGGGGCGATGGCAACTTTCTAGGGCGAACTTCTGTCACAATCACCTAAAGAATGTTGGATTCAGCGAAGCTCCATGTGCGGAAGGATCCATCCCCACTGCTGTGAAAACTTTACGAAATACGACTCAAGAAACATCTAGAGCCAAGGCCCTTGTTGAGCTCAAAATGCTGCCTGCGCACAATGGCACGACAAGTACGATGACAGGCAAAGCTATTTGGAGTTTTTTGAAGTCTGAAGGAATGTCGTTAAGTTCGTCGCAAATTTCGCGGATCAAGTTGAGTATTGAAGCATCTCTTGTTACAAACCGCCAGGTTAGCTACCAGAAGTTAAAGGCGTACTTGGCCGCCATGGCTTCAAAGAATGAAGGCTCAATTTGGAGATTTGAGACTGAATCAGATGGAACTTTCAAAAGAGCTTGCTTCGTTCCCAACATCGGGGTTCGAATTGCAACAATGTCGCGCCGAATGTTTGGATTTGATGGCGCCCACCTCAAAGGTGAGATGAATGCTTATGGAGTATTTCTCGTGGCGACTTCAAAAGATTACAACAAGCTAGTAACTCCATTCGCCTTAGCAATTGTCCCTAAAGAAAATCAAGATCACTGGACTTGGTTTTTGGAGATTGTACGAGAGGCGCTTGGGAATTTACAGCCTTTTACAGTAGTATCGGACCGACAAAAAGGATTGATCAACGCAGTCGAGGAAGTATTCCCTCTAGCAGGACATCGATACTGCTTGGAGCACGTGAAGCGTAATATCTCTGAGGGCAACTCTCTAACCAGTAACGAGCGAAACCTGATAACGGAGATGGCCGATAGCGATTGCGAGAATGACTTCGCCCTTTTCCACGCAGAGCTTAAGGCAACGAACAAGGCAGCCGCTGACAAACTGGATAAAATTAAAAGGGAGCACTGGGTCAAGTACTCTTTTTTGGCGCACAACAACTTACCAACCTACGGTGAAGCAACGTCAAATGTGGCCGAACAGGCAAATAATTGGTTAGGCAACGACTGTCGAAGTGCGTATCCTTTGGATGGTTTCAACCTATACTTCATGAAGTTATGTGAGCGGGTGTCTAGCATGCGGCAGAAAGCTGCCAAGTGGGCACTCGAATTTGGTGAAGATACTTTGGTCCCATTCCTCCAAACTCGCAGAAGTAATCATGCCACCGCCAGTGATATATGTAAAGCCGTTCCGTGCATGAAAGGCTCATACATGATACGTTATCTTGGACCTGTGAAACGTGAGGGATTTATTCACCCCTGGAGAAACGTAGACTTGCCCGGTAGAAGCTGCACCTGTCGAGGCTGGCAAGATTACGAGTTTCCGTGCGTGCATGCAGTATGCGCCGCTATTAAGGACGGCCAGCGCCTTGAAACATTGTATGATGCACGACGGCTGTCGATTCGACACTTCCGGGATACGTACTCGCTGCAGTTTGTTCCACTACCTCTGGATGGTGAATTCTATCGTGACGAGAATATCAAAGTGCCTACAGTGAAGATTGATGCTCCCGAAAAAGGTAAACGGGGGGAGAAACCGGGGCCCAAACCCAAGCACAAACGCAGAAAAACCAAAGGGGGTACGTGAGAGAGCCTAAGGTTTTTTTTTATACATTCATCCGTTTCAAAATAATTCATTAGAAATCGATGATAAACTATCCCGAAATCATGATAAACCATCCAAAATAAATAATAACGCGCCTAAAAGCATGATATTTGATCCAAATATGATTCATGAATAATCGCTTGATGACAAATTTACAAAAAGATTTAGCCATTTTCGTGGATAATTTTTTTTGTTTTGTTTTTAAGAAATAGTAAATCTAGTGTGTTTTCTTCGTAGATGTACGCCTACATTGCTCTACAAAGCATCAAAAACCGTGTCACTAACTTGAAAACAAACATATTATAATTGACAACGTCCTTTTAGTGCAGATGCAAAATACTCAAGTATGACGAAGGACTGTAGATCTTTTTATTTCTCATAATTAAGATTATGAAGTATGTAACAGCCTACAGGTTTGCCAGGTAATCAGCACGTCGGCGGGCCTCCTGACGCGCTGTCAGCGGCATGCGCTCACGCCATGACGCCAACGATATTCCTTTCTTCTTCCGGATGTAGTAGGCTTTACTAGCTAGACGCCTGGCAATTTTGCGTGCCTCTTCGCGAGCTGCTACAGATCGCTTGTCACAAGGATTTTTTCGCACTAAATGTTTCTTGAGTCCTTGGTGAGTCTTTAAGGTCCTTTTACACTTGTAGCACGTAGTTGAGGCCTTCTTTTTAGGACGGCCAACCTTCTTTGGTGGTGGCTGGGGTA